TTTTGCTTATATTCGAAATTCTTGATTGATGTTCCGATTTCGAGCTTTCTCGGTTTGTTTTTCTTGGTTCTTGTTGTTGTCTGCTGCTTTTATTGGTTATGCAAGCAATCCATCTTAATGCGCTTCGCTTAGATCTGCTTACTTCTCTCTTCTCTGTGTTTGTATGTATGTGTATATGCGTGTCTATACATGTATGACATTTGCGCTCGCGGTATATGTCTGTGCCAGGTATACATGAGATGTACTTGCATAGAGTCTGTTTACTAGTTATGGGAGAATATAACTAAGAGGTATCCGTCGAAGAAGATCCTACTTACTCGTTGGATTTTATTTTCTGCCAAATTTAGATGTTAACTGAGTAATAACTCAGTAGAATTATTTGGTGCAATTGCTACGTTTATTAAGGAACATTGCTACCTCTTTTACAACGTTGCAAATTTTGGGTTTCCCCGAAGAGAGGTTATATGGTTTTTTATAGTACTCTATTGGTTATCTGGAAGAGAATTGTGACTTAACTTTGAAATCTTAATATGCAGTCTAGAGTTGACATGTTATCATACAGGGGAATAATTTCCTGGAAGTCATAAGAAATTCTCTAGGAGGAAAAATTATGCTGCATTTATTGAAAGAAAACTTGTAGAGATTTATGTTACTAGGTGGATGGTGTAAAAACTAAAAATTTAATTTCTGTTAGGCTTCCTATTTAGGAATTTAAGCAGTTTTGTTGGCATAAATATTTATTTACAGTGTAAATTAGACTAGGTTCCTTGAGTATTAGGCATTATTATATAACTTTGTTCATAAGTTTGCTGAAAAAATGCAAATTTGGCTTTTCCTTGTGAAGTTGGTAAAACCAGTTTTTGTACATGTCTACTCTCATAATATGCCTCTCACATCATTTGAAGTTTTGGTCTCATTTCATATCTTAAGTTCTGTTTTCTTCTACCAATTTCAGATCTTATACAAGAGGAGATGTACAATTTATTTATTGCATGTATTTGAGGTGATAGTTAGTTAACCTCTCCTATCCTTAAGTTAATAGATTGGACTGATTTGACATAAACATTCATTGAGTAAGGACTAAATTGCAGTTTTTAACATTCCTCAAATAAGCACTGAGTTGTGTATTTCAAAAACATGTCGAATTAATTATAATTATGTTGAAATGCGAAGCCCCATCTATGTGATGGGTCAAAAGAAAAGGCACCATATTCCATGTGTGTGTCTCCATTTTCCTGGAGAAGGAATCATCTGATGGCAGGGATGTGAATGAGGCACCCTGATATTTAAAATTTTTTGTTGCAGGAAAATGCCTCGCTATGATGACCGCTCTGGTGGTACACGCCTCTATGTTGGTCGCTTGTCTTCAAGGACTCGAACACGTGACCTTGAGGACATCTTCAGCCGTTATGGGAGGTAATAAGTCCTTTCTACACAAACTGAGCCATATTTTGTGCCTTTCTGTATCATTTGTTTTGGCTGTGTTGATTTTGTGATAGCCTTAACTCTTTGAATATTGTATCATTTACTATGGGTGTTTTCAACTTATCAGTTATTTTTAATAGTTATTTATGCCTCATCTTTTAAGCATAATAAGATCACAAATTTGTCCTAAAATATTCTGCTGATATTCTATCTTCGATTGACTTTCACTTATCACCAAATTCCTTGTGTCACGGTTGAAAATATTTTTCTAGGCAGGTATTACATTTTTGTGATGTTTATTGAACAGAGAAAGTTTGTCTTGTCAATTTGAGATTCGGATTCTTTATTGTTCAATATTTTTATTTTTATTTTTCCTTTTATTTTGGATTAGTACAAACAGAAATCCCTTGGAGTGTAGTTAACACTAGAATGTGTAGGAGGAGATTGAGGCCTTTAGCAAGCCCTTTTTAGTGCTTGCGACTTGCTAATATTAATATATGTGTGAGAACGTTGCACCCTTCCACGTGTCTGTGTGGTTTAACTTGAATGATCTTGTTGAAGGTTTCTGGGATTTTGCCTAACCTGGAGGTCTATGGTGAGAGGTTGACCTTGGTGGATTTGGCGAGTCTTTCTATAATGTTATTGCGTGTTTTTATGGAAATGGCAACAATCTCAAAGTGGTGTTTAGTTCATCTGTGAGGGGCGAAGTATCAACCCTTCGATACTTGTGTCTTGATGGCCTTACTATTTCTGGCACCCGTTTACGCAGAATTCGCGATGTGGATATGAAGCGTGACTTCGCCTTTGTTGTATGTATTTTCTTACCTTTTGCTACTTTTTCGTGCTCTCAGTCTGTGACTTGCACAATGAAAATCCTTGAACTTTTTTTGCTGTGTATTTCCCTTGAAAGTATATGTTCGCTTAAATGTATTGTGTAAATATGATCTTCTTGCCATCTCCCCCCTGTTAACAGGAGTTTAGTGACCCTCGTGATGCTGATGACGCAAGATATGGCTTGA